GAAAGTCTTGGTTTCTTCGGCGAGGGTCGCTGCCGAATCTTGCACGTTGTGGCGTGTACCAACAAAATCAATCGTCAACGTCTCATCGGAGGTTTCCCCACGGAGAAAGATTGCAAAACATATCAGCCAGGCGAGGTTGTCCAGGTCGCACGGCCTGCCGTCGCGAGGCCGACTGCACTCGAGGGAGATGCATCGACATTTACAGCGATCCCCGCTCGCCTCATCATCTCTTGGATGAAAGCAACCAAGTATTTGAAACAGTTGAAGCAGGCCAGTGAGGCGAGCGACGCATGGAAAGAAGTTATCGTTGGAGAGCCGCATGTGGAGTTCAAGAAAGTTGGATTTGAAACACTTCGGAGAGCGAGGGTGCGGGCAGACATCACTGCAAATCTTGTGTTCCGTTCTTTCTGGGAAGCCCAGCCCGACGAAAAAAAATGGACGTATGTGTGGTGTGACGCTTCGCCTCAGTGGAGAGGGCTTGAAATGTTCAGCGCCTCGTTTGATATATGTTGCCCGTCCCTCACGCAACGCCGTCTCTTCCCATTAGTTTCACTGCGGTTCAAAGGTACTGACCTGAAAGCCAAAGGAGTTGCGCTGTTGTGGCAGATATTCTTAATAACTGGGATTTGCTCTATGATATCGTTTTGTTCTTCAATTCGCAGCTTGTGTACTGACATGGGCACTGAAAGGCTGATAGCAGACTTGCCAGGAACAGTATTGTGGGACTTTCTCCGCTTCATCGGCGCAGCCCCCCGAGGTCCACCTCCAGCAATGGTTTTCCCAAGAGCTGTTGTCATGCCTGGATGGAAACATTGCTGGGATCTGATGCTGAGGCGAGGCGTGTATCAACTACCATGGTTCCCTGGTTTCCTGAAGGGCCTAAAAGCAATCATCAAGTTCTTTCGGGAGAAGGTGGAAGAGATCGCGTTCCAGATAGAACAGGCAGGATTCAATGTTTTGGCCAGGGTGATCAAGAAAGCCAGGTTACCTCATTTCGCAGATTGGAGATGGACGTCATTACATTTTTGTTGCGAACCATTGTCGGGCTTCCTGGAAAGCTTCGTTCGACAATTTGATCCTTCACCTTTTCGGCAGAAGAGCAGAGAAACTCATTTTAAAGATGCGTGTGCTGCACTCGGGTCGGCTCAGTGGGTATCCCAATTTAAGTTCATCACGTGGTTTGCGAGGAGGTGTCACGAGTGCTCGGCTTGGGGGGGAACTTGCAACTGTCATCGTGCAGAGATCATGCAAGGTAAACAGATCACGTGTTTTCATAAGGGGAGGCTCGTTCGGGATGCACACAAGTTTGCCATGGACAACTTGAAACAAATGATTGAGGATTGCAAATCTTGGGACGTGAATGCTTGGGGGGCCGAGCTCCACAGGCAATGTGTAAGCTGCGTGAGAGCGACGTTCGCACTAGGGAAGGAGAAGCTGGAATTCCTTGACACTGTTCCAATTCTCCTCTGTCGGTTAGCGGAACCTGGAGTTCGGGACAGATGCCTCGCACAATATGCCACACCGGGTGACCACCATAGAGTGACACACGAATTTCTGAGGGAGGGGTCTCGGCTTCGGGCGCACATTGACGCCATGCTGCCCGATGGGTCTAACATGTCCGAAGAGCTTGCTTACGCAATCAAGTCGCTGCAAGATATTCCACTTGATGACACCGTAGGGGAAGCACCGCACAGCCGAGCTAAAGCAATCTATACGCACGCTCGTGCAGCGACTTGGCCATGGATCGCCTCGAGTTTGCGCGTTGATCAAAACATTGACGATATAACTAACATGTTATCTCATACAACTTTGTCATTGGAGGATGTTTGGCGACGGCCGTCGTCGATCCTGCAAGTTCGCCGAGAGAAGCGGTTCCAGCGCCGCAAGAAGATAAGTCAGAAAATGTTGAACCAACGAGTGTATACAATGGAGTATTTCCGAACTTTCGAGCTGTCTGATCCAGTGGACGTGCCAGATCCTGGCGACGCTGGCGATGGGCCAGATGACCAGGGACCTGGCGACGATCCAGGTGATGATGATATGCATGGAGGCGGTGACGATCAGCCTGATGGGCATGCTGGTGGCGGTGGTGCAATTCGGATGCTGCTGAAGGGGTACTTCGAGACTGCACTTAGCACGAATATTGGGTGCTACATGTCGCTACCAAGCCAGAAAGATGGGTCAACCAAAGATTTTTTTCAACTTCTGTCTTGCACGAATAAGAATGTGGTTGTAAAAACATTTCGGAAGAAGAAGGAGTTCGCGCTCAGGCTGACGGTGCAGCCGTTTGAGATATGGCAGGAGTATGCTGCAGGAGCAGTCGGCTCTGCTCAGGTCTTTATCGTTTCTGATCCACTTCATATCGACCTCTTCGATTTCATCAATGGCATCGGCGACAGGGACCAAACGTGTCGTTGGAGCCCGAGGCCGAGTGATATCGATGGCTGCTTGCTCTTGGACCAGCCTGAGGTTCTCAGGCCACACGTGAAGCTCTCAGATACGTCTGTACCCGTCCTCAGCCTGATGGACGAGCTCCGCATGCTCGGTTGGGCCTTCGAGGAGAGGCTTGTCAGGCAGTGAGGCGCAACAAAAACAACAATAGATCGAACCAGAGAGGGCGAGTGACGCAACCATTCAAGGAGAGAGAGAGAGAGAGATAGGCAGCGAAACCATCCAGGTAGGATCAGCACCCCATCAAAAGAGTTCGAGCTAGCGCAAGACGGCAGGAGGGGAGAAGGAGGGGCAGGAAGAGAGAGAGGGGGGAGATCGAGCGATGGAGGGAGGGAGAGATGGCGAGAGAGAGAGAGGCATGCATACATGCAGAGAGCAGTGAGCCACTAAGGCGGCATCAGGCTCGGTATGGGCGTAGAGCGTCTGGGTCCAGGACATTAATTGAACATCGCGGAAGTAGGCGTAGGGGAATGGGAGGGGCGCACACTTTGAAGCAGATCCCCTCAGGCACGACCCAGGCTCGGCGAAGATAGCAGATTCCAGGAGGCCGTCATCTAAGAGATTTTATTATCAGTGTTTGGTGTGCTGGGACGATGTGTCCAAGACTGCGCCGCCCGACGTTCGGAGCGACAGGCCAGGATATTATTTCAAACTTCTTCTGAAAGGCAAGATCACGCCAGGTATCACGAATAAGGAATGCCGAGCGCTTCTTGCATGTGGGGATGGCGCTGCACCGCCCCTGCCCCTGCTTGACAAGGAGCCAGCTGTAAAGCCGCACGTGGGTCCAGCCCCCCCCGCCATCATGAGCGATGATGACATCGCTTTGGACATGCCTGCAGGCCCCCTCCCACTTGAAGATGATCCGCCCGAAGGCGTCAAAAGCCCAGAGGCCCCAGAATTAGTAGAGCCAGACGGTGCTGCTGGCGAGCCCGCTGAGCCCGCAGGCCCTGTCCCAGTTGCTGATGCTGCAGTCGATGCTGCACCAGGTCCTTTGGTGCCCGAATATCCGCCCACGATTTGGGGCATGGAAGTGAGACTCGAGAAGCGGACACGGAACGGCGCCGAGGAGCGCGGAATTAGGATGCGTTGCCCTGTTCATGGGGCAGCTTGCGGCAAGTACAGGAGCTTGAGGCTTGGTGTGGAACGTCACGGGCCTAAAGCAGCTGCTCTTTTCCTTGCCACTTGGGCGTCGTTCGGCGAGTCCCGATCGGTGGAGGACCATCGGCGGCCCCCGACGACCGCTGAGATTGACGATTACATCGCAAAATACGGCGACGATACTCGTTGAGACTGAAAAGGAAACCAGATATTGACGTTCACCCATGCCAGCCTGAAATCGGCGATTCGTTGGGCGCCGACTGGGCCAGTCGATGTTCGAAGGAGCCCCCTGTTGACGCTTGAAAAAAAAACGCCAAAACGCTGTTGATAGCCAAACACACCTTTTTTTCTATATGAAAGTGATGACCCCCAAACTGTGTTGACACCCGCCGAAGCAATGTTGAAGCAATGTTGAAGCAATGTTGAAGCAATGTTGAAGCAATGCTGACGTTGGCCGAAAAAGTTGAAGCAAGGTTGAAGCAATGCTGAAGCAATGTTGAAGCAATGTTGACAATGACAGCGGAAGTTGAAGCAATGTTGAAGCAATGTTGAAGCAATGTTGAAGCAACCCCCAGGCGTCGAGGCAGCGTTTAAGCAACCCTCCAGGCGTCGAAACACTGTTTAAGCAGGCTCTGAGGTGTTGGAACAGCCGAGCACAGTCGTGCAGGGGTGCAGACAGCCACGACACTTGCACTTGTGTGGGGCTGGCGCTCTCTAGGAGGGGCGCTGCGCAAGCATGCTCTGATGCGCCCGTTGGGGTGCGCCTGTTGAGAAGAGGCGGTGCAGATGATATGAGTGGTCTACTCGATGAGGCGGAGGCTCCAGGAGGGCCCGAGGGAGGCTCGAGGAGAGGGACGTGGTGGGGGGAGGGCGACGAGGGGAGTAGGAGGAGTGAGGGGGGAAGAGGGGGCACTTACTTAAGGAAAACGCTGGGAAAACGCGAACACCCAAACCAACCATAACATCCTGAACGGAAAATTGCTCGGGTACACTGCAGAAGGAAATCAGAGATCCAGAGTTAACTCAGAGGTCCAATCAGTAGCTCTTTGGCCCCGAAGGGATGCTAAGAAAAGACCCACCAATGGCTGCAGAAGAAGACCCTCCACCACCAGTTGAAGGCTCAGAATTGAGGGACAAACACACCCCGCGTGATTTTTTGTTTTCGGGGGGGGGGGGGGAGGGGACGGTGAGGAGGAGTAGGAGCGAGAGGGATGGGGGGGAGCACTTACGAAAACGCTGGAGAAACGCAAACGCCAAACATAAAAACATTATCCTGAACGAACAAATGCCCCGATACAATTCAGAGGGAATCCAGAGATCAAGAGTTAACATAACACATCCCATCAGTAGCCATTTTGGCCAAAGACCGTTGGTGTCACAAGTGACATTTCCAAGCCTCTGCTGCGCGGAGGTAGCCTATACTGAGAAGTACGGTGCTCGGGTCCGCTCCGATGGCGTCGAGGGCAAGCTCGAGGGCTCCGTCGGCGGGAGGTAGCGCGTTAGATGAGGATCTCTTCTTTGACGATGCTGTGATGGAGACGGGCACGTGCTACGCTTGCAACTTGGATGATGTGCTCACGAACCTCCCCTGCCGCCACGACGGGCACACCTTCCACCAGGGCTGCTATGAGGGGGTCAGGGCCCACTGGCGAAGCATGAGCAACTTTCCCGCGGCGAAGGAGGCCAACAAGCAGAACTACAAGAACGACCCCATGGCGTGGCGAGCTTCGGTGGCTCCGTTTCTCCCGAGCGCCGAGCCCGAGGTTAGGGCCCAGGCAGTGGCGAATGCGAAGCGGGAGCACGCGGAGATCGAGGAGCACGTGGAGAAGCAGTTCGACCAGGAGCTGGAGGACGACATGCTGCTCACCAAGTCGCAGTACATCGGCTGGATGCTGAACAACGAGGCGTCGACGAGGACACGCAGGGAGCTCGGGAAGGACTTCGACCGACTTGTGGAGGAGCAGGGGGACAAGCACAAGAACAGGAACGGCGAGAGCCGCGTGAAGCATGAGGGATATGGGACGCTGCGGAAGGGCAAGAGCAACGAAGTCAAAAAAGGCGTGCTGAAGGTCAGCGAGATCGACGTTGAGACCTACAGCCTCAAGCGACGGAGGTTGACTACGAAGACGGCTTCCACGGCTTGGTCAGTGTCAGGTTCGAGTTCGGGAGTGCTCAGCCCTGGGCCCGATGGATCACTTAGTCCATCACCTAGTCTTCCGACCGTTCGCCCCTCGGAGGTCTCGACGCCTGTGCCGCCAACGAAGAAGAAAGCTGGAAGCGAGCGCCAGGCCACCACTCCACCAGAGAACGACGAGGCTCTCTTGGCCAAGCCCCCCCAGGATCTCTCGGCGTTAGAGTTGCTCCGCAGGCAATCGATCCTGTCGCGGAAGATCGAGGATGCGCTGAACACCTTGAATGGCGCCGCAGGCGAGAAGACGAAGATGACTACCATGTCGGAGAAGCTGGCCAGTCTCGATGCCAAGCACCAGCTGCCCACCAAGACCGATGCGATCGCCAAGAAGGCCGACGACCAGACGGAGATCCTGAAGGAGAAGAAAGGTGAGGTGAACCATTCGACTGTGGAGAACTTGGCGTCGCTCGAGAGGTCCGCCGAGGTCGCCATCGAGCAGCTGGAGATCGCCAAGAGGGCCTGCAAGGACCACTACGAGGCCATGGACTTCGTATTCAAGGACAGGAAGGTCCAGGAGCGCAAGGTCTACCAGGCCGAGCACCACCAGATCATGAAGGTGAGCCTGAGGCCGAAACGCACCAGGCTTAAACATATGTGTTGGGTCCCTCTTTGAGGGGCCCAGGGCGGGCCCCTCGCGCTGGGACCCGAGACGGGTCCCTCTTGGCGGGGCCGGCTGAGGGGGGGGGACGACGGGCCCCATCGGTTGAAGATGGGACCATCTTGGTGGGCCCAAGGCGGGCCTTTCGTGGTTGGACTCAAGACAGGTTCCTCTTAGCGGGCCTGGAAGGGGCTCTGTTGGATAGCCTTGGGGGTCGGAGCCAATGCGGGAAGGGAAACCCGAGTCCAAGATGGGTCCATCTTGGCAGGATCCAAGACGCCCCCGTTTTGGGGCCAGCCCAGGACGGGCCCCGCCCAAAGGGGTCCGTCTCGGATCCTGCCAAGATGGATCCGATCCTGGATCCTCGGATCTCGACTTTGCTGGTTGTCTTGGTTCTTGTTTCTCGCCCCCCGCAGGTTGCGAACTCCCTGATCTCGGGTGGCTTCAAGAAGAAGCTGGGGATCGCGGTTGCGAGAAACATCCGCGGCTACCCGCTGGCGGAGAATAAGCTGACCAACCACACGCTGGGAGTTGCTGCCCCCGAGGACGACGAGGCGGAGTACAGTGGGGACACCATCCAGATCTTCTGCAGCGCGGGTACAACAATCGAGAAGATGGTCAACCAGTTCATGGCGGAGTCGGCCACGAAGATGGAGGCCAAGATCACGACCATGGACAACCTCATGCTCAGGGAGGCGAAGGCGCCAGGGGCCATTGGCCGCATCCAGAGCTCGTTGCAGACGTTCGACTTCGCGCCCCTCCCGAATGACATGACTCTTGATGCAGATGGTGGTGCGGACCCCTGGATGTTCACAGCTAGGTTCAACGCGTTCAGGTTTGGTGCAGCTGCAGTTCCTCTTCCTGGCGTAGGCTTCGTCATGAAGAATTGGGAGAGCCAGATGTACGTGGGCCTCTTCAAGATCGAGAGCCTGCTCGAGGACGGTATCGTGATGCCGAACGCCGCGAAGTTCCTTGAGACGGACGACGGCGTCAAGTTTTTCGAGCGCTCCGAGTGGGTGGTGGTTCCGCCGAAAGGGATCTTGAGTGTGCCGTGGGGTTGGGTCGCGATGCCAGTGTTCTACGAGCCTAAGAAAACGACGGAATGGGGCCACGCTTGGTGTTTGGCGAAGCTCTCGGTGACGGAGGCCAAGAGGTGCGGCACGGATGTGCTGAAGACGATCAAGGCCTTCAACGATGACCACATGAAGGGCTCTGCGGCGGTGCCCATGTGGAAGGCCAGGGCGACGAAGTTCAGTCAATTTATGGAGTCCGTGTTGCAATGATCGGGGGTCGCACCACGGAGAAACGAGAAATGGGGTACGCACGAGTACACGGTACTCGTGATTGAGTCGTGCGCAGCGCGCACCGAGCAGCTCAGAGAGTTTGAACTTGAAACGTTCTGCGGAGGTGCAGGTAAACAAAGCATCGGAGGATAGAGGAAGGAGAGGAGGATGGATGAGTGAGGAAAGAGGTGGAGGGACTGATGTGAAGGGAGGCTGATGGGAGGAATGAGGACGGGGGATGATGATGGGGGGGAGGGAGAATAACAAAGAGAGGAGGAGAGAAACACAAGCTTTAGGAATTCAAGTTCAAGTACGGTTTAGCGTACAAGAGTGACGAGAGGAGGGAGGTGGAGGGAGGGACAGGGGGAGGGGTGAGAGAGGAGAGGAGGTAGCTGGGAAGAGAAAAAGGAGAGAGGAGGGAGGAGAGGAGAGAAGGGAAAGAGGGAGTAGGGAGTAGGGAGGGGGAGGAGGGAGGACAGAGGAGTGAGGAGAGAGGAGGGAGGAGAGGAGGGAGGAAGGAGGCGGCCGTACGCCGACATGGTATTCATCGCGCAGGCGCCCTCCCGTGCCGATGGGGGGCGGGGGGGGGGGCCGAGCGAGTGAGAGGAGGAAGGGAGCGATGATAAGGATGGTGAGGATGCTGGAGGTGGGAGGGTGATGATAATGGTGATGGTAATGATGATGATAATGGTGATGATGATGATGATGATGATACTGATGATGATGATGATGATGATTATGGTAATGACGATGGCGATGGTGATGATGGTGATGATGATGGTGGTGATGATGATGATTACCGTCTTTCTCGTCGTTTACGTGTCATGTTGGCTTATCTGGCTGAAAGCGTGGTCTTGTTGCTCATTTAGGCTGATAGTTGCCTTTGTGTTTAAGGGTCGTCATGAGTGTTGAAGCCTTTTGGCATTCACCGCTCCCTCTGTTGCAATCGCGACCCTTCTCCCAAATGGACGGCACCCTACTGTCGACTATGATGTCGAGGCCCACCTGTGGGCCCGCCCAGCTGTCCAGACGCCCCGCTGGGAGCAAACAGCTGTTTATAGTTCGGTTGCTACTGAGCTGTGTCTTCGCAGATTGCGGTGGCGAAAATGATCATGCTCGGCTCCACCCTCGCTTCCACCATCTCGCTAAATAGGGACAGGGTTAACGGCCAATTCCCGTCTTCCTCGCAAGCGCTAGTTCCAGCAGTGTAGCTGGTTACGCTTGGCTCCAATCCCTCCTCCGCCATCACGCTGAGCAGCGACGGGCGCCAGCCGCCACTGCCCACGGTGCTGACACGCATTAGCTCCTACGTTTTAGTATAGATGGCGTATGCCTCAGAATTCGTTGATTTCGCACACGCACGCGCTGATCGAAGCACTGTCGCAGACCACGCAGGGCCTCGCTTTCCCTCTCACCTTCTCCTGACGCAGCGACACCAACAGCGCCCAGTGGCCCCTTTTCTCGCAAGCGCTGATCCCAGTGCTCTGGCTTATGCTATCTGGCTCCACCTGGGCTTCCTCCATTTCGCTCAGTAACGAGAGTGCGTGCTGCCACTGCCGCACTGAGTCCGGCGCTGTAGCTGAACAAGTCTGGCTCTACCTTCACATCCCTCATCTCATGGAGCAGGAGCAACGCCCGCTGCCACTGCGCGCCCTGTCTACACGCACTGACCTCAGCACTGTAGCTGATGACGCCCCGCTCCACGCCGAAGTCAACCATCTCGCCGAGCATGGACAGCGCCCAGGGCCACTGCTTTCCCGTCCCTCTACTCTGACCCGCGTGCAGAAAGGATTCATCCAACAAAAAAATGTCATTCGCCGGGTCGCGCGGACCGTTGCCGACAAGCCGTTTGCCTTTCTTTGCGCAGGGAATGCTTCGCCTGGAAGGCCGCGACCCACATCCGCCGCGCACCGGCTGTATACGGCGAGTCCCCGACGACCCACAAAACGAAGCCCGACGCAGCTTCCTGGCTCCTTGCCCCCTCAAGCCCGCGCCGAGGGAGGGCCCGCCGCTCGCGCCGATGGCGGCCCTGTAGGAGCGCAGCGCCGGCCTGCACGCGCGAGCCCGGCGCGCCGCGGAGCAGCGCCAGCGCCGCGCCCCCCGTGCCTCGCGCCCCCGCACCTCTTCGCGCTGCGGCCGCCGCCCCGCCCCCACCGCCGCCCCCGCGCCCCGTTGGGCGCGCCTCCGCGCCCCGGCCGCGGCCGCGCCGGCGCGAGGGGCGTGCCCGCGGACGGGCCGGGGCGCGCCCGCGGCCGACGGCCGCCTCGCGCCCGCGGCGGGCCGGGGCGCGCCAGGGGGCGGCCCCCGCGGCGCCCCGCTCGGGGCGCGGCCGACGGCCACGAGCGGAGCGTCGCGCCAGGAGGGCAGCGGGAGCTCGGCGGGGAGGGGCGGTGCAGAGGGCTGCGGCGAGGCAGCGCGGGGGCAGAGGGACGTTCGTCCCGCTGGGACCCTCTGCATCGGCGGCCCGTAGGGTCCCCTCTTCGCCGCCCACAGGAGTCTCGTGGGCCCAGCCTGCGAGACTGAGAGCAACCAGAGCCTGCGGAGGCCTGCCGGGACCTCTAGGCATCTGAGAAGAGGCAGGGGCAAGAGGCAGAGGCAAACGCTGCGGCCAGGGCTAAGGCGCATCCTGAGGCTCTCAGGCTAAGCTTGACACTGGCAGCCCTTGATCCCCCGTTTTTTGGCCCTTACCACGGTGAATTGGATTATTTCCTGGATGACCAGACGAGCAGTGAGAGAGAACCGCCGAACGATTCTCTCCTATGAAACTTACGTGAGCGTCGGACGTAGAAGATCTGAAATGCGAATGCACTGCCACTGAGGAGCCCGCAAGGACGTCCAGAAAACCCACCGGGGAATGGTTAAACCGTGGTTGGTGCTGGTGGTGCGGGACACCACGAAGACCGACCACAATTACACGGTAGTGCGGCTACACTTGAACCGAAAACCGACTGCGAAACCGAACCGATCGAGAAAGCCAAACCTTCGGTCCAATCAAATACTCCTGCTCCTCCTCCTCCTCCTCCTCCTCTTTCGAGAGAGAGAGAGAGAGAGAAACAAAAAAAAAGCCAAACATTCGGTCTAATCAAAGCAATCGATCAAACCGATGAGCGAAACCGACTGCGAACGGACCGAGCCCACTGTAAACGGGCTCTGAAGGTCGAGCTCCCCTCCTCTTCACCCTCCTCCATCCTCCTCCTCCTCCTCCTCCTCCTCCTCCTCCTCCTCCTCCTCCTCCTCCTCCTCCTCCCCCTGCTCCTCCTGCCTGTCTTCCTCATCCTCCATCCTCCTCATTCTCCCCTGCCTCTTCCATTCCTCCCTCCTCCCTCCTCCTCCCTCCTCCCTCCGCCTGGCAGAATCATGAGAGCATCACCGCGTCAAATAAAAGAAGACCCGGACATATTCTCAGAGCCGCAGCTCAGAAAGTCTAATTTGTTGACACTTCGATCGGATGCCCAAAGTGGCGCGTTTGCATCGAACGCGCTCAGCCCATAGAGCCCGCGACAAGGGCACTGAGACCATCCTGATCTTCCACCTCCTCCTCCTCCTCCTGCTCCTCCTCATCATCCTCCCCCTCCTCCTTGCTCATCCGTCTCTTCCTCATATTCCTCATGCTCCTCCCAATCCTCATCCTCCTTCTGATCCACTTCGTCCTCATCCTACTCGTCTTTCTCCTCCTCCTCCTCCTCCTCCTCCTCCTCCTCCTCCCGGTGCTCCTCTTCCTTATCATTCATTCCTCCTCATCATCTTCTTCCTGACTCCTCCTCACTCCTCATCCTCATCTTCCTTCTGAGCCTCATCTTCATCTTCACCCATCCCCCTTCTCCTTCTACCCATCATCATCATCATCATCATCATCATCATCATCATCATCAGCAGCAGCAGCATCATCATCAGCAGCATCATCATCAGCAGCAGCATCATCATCATCCGCATCAGCATCAGCATCAGCGTCAGCATCAGCATCATCACCATCATCGTCGGCAGCATCAGCATCGTCATCATCATCATCATCATCATCATCATCATCATCATCATCATCATCATCATCATCATCATCATCATCATAATCAACATCATCATCGTCATCATCATTACTACCTCCTCGTCCTCATCGTCATCAGCAGACGCAACATCGTTACCAGCACCATCACTGTCGTCGTCGTCGTCGTCGTCATCGTCATCAGCATCGTCAGCAGCAGCGGCATCATCGCCACCACAATCATCATCATCACCATCACCACCACCATCACAATCGCCATCAACACCACCATCGTCATTGTCGTCAACATCCTCACCAGTATCACCAGCACCATCATCAGCATCATTGGCATCACACTCAGCATCGTCATCATCATCGCCATCAGCATCCCCGTCCTCATCATCCTCGTCCTCATCATCATCGTCATCATCATCGTCATCATCACAATCACCATCATCACCACCATCATCATCGGCAGCATCAGCAGCATCAGCACCATCATCATGCCTATCCCCCTCCAAGGGCCTCGCAGAAACCGTGCATACTCTTCTCATAAACCACTCAGAAGCCTTGCAGAAGTCTTGCCCACGATTCTCGTGAGCCGCGCGTAAGCTCCTCAGAGGACTTGCGGGTGCCTCTCCGAGGGCGTGCAGAAGCCTCTCGGAAGCCTTGCAGAAACCTCCTCTCTGAAGCCTCGCGAACGCGCACACATACACACACACCTCCTGACCCGTCAGAGGATAAAACCTAGGATCAACCCAATTCAACCAGGAAATCATCCAATTCACCAGGGTAGAGGCCCACCATTCAAGGAATATGAATCAATCGTCTGGCATGGAAGCTAAAACTAAATATGTTGCTCAGGGGTGCGCTTCCGCTTCCGCTAAGGATTGTTTGCGCATAGGGTCAAGGTCATCGGCTAGATAGGAGTCCGACAATGTCAATATGGTGTCCCGCGTAGGCTATGGCTGATAATTTAGCGTGGCGTGGCTGTGGCTTTGGCTGCCGCTCTGGTTGTGGC